CCCACACACCCCCACACCCGCAGAAAAACATGAAAATAGAAAATTTCAGACTTTTTTATATAAAAGATTGAATCTCTTATGTGATGGCCATATAGAGTAGAAAAAAGCTACACATGTAATCTGACAGACAGCAAACAGGCAGACAGACAGCAAACAGGCAGACAGACAGACAGACAGACAGACAGACAGACAGACAGACAGACAGACAAGCAGGCAAAAGGAGAAAACGACGATGAAAAAGAAAGGAAACTGGAAAGTAAAGGGACATGTATATTGGTGAGCACACAGAAAACAAGAAAGAACATGACTTGAAAAGGGGATTTTGTGGCACTGAGCGTACCAATCCAATAGGCCACGAATGAGGAGTTGTCAACCCAGCTTTTGAGCTACTTAGTTTAATTCAAATGGCCTGTGATGGCGAGTCACGGGGCCCTGACAGTCACTCCGCCAAGAGAAATAAACACGAACAAGAGAAACAGCATTTTATTTTAAGAAAAAAAAAAAAGAAAGAAAGAGAAGGAGCGGGGGCGGTCACCAATCATCAGAAAGCCAAAATTTGAGTTGGAGTTTTGAGTAAACAGAAGCACATCGACACAATAACGGCCATACCGTGCAGGGAGGAGGCAAGACAGACGGACAGAAACAACAGTGGGAAAGGAAAGAAGTAGGACCTACCATGAGTGGCGCCCTTCAACCACCCGCAAGCAGAAATATGACTGGCAACACTGAACAAGAAACGAAAGGAACAAAAAGCACTGAAGTGTAAAGAAACAGAGAGAAAAAATTAAGAAGCGATAAGTAAAAAATAATTTAAGAAACAAGCTTTGGATTGTGTCTCAAGAGAAAAAGTAAAAGCCGACAATGGTTTCAGAGTCCAAATTGGCTTGTGTAATTTAAACTCACCTTTCCTCACCTCCGTTCCTCACAATCACAGCCAATCTACAAAAGAATTACCAGTAGTAGTCTTTGCTTTCATTTTCAAAAACATTTAAAAGAGACACCGCACTTTTGATAAATCTGGTACTGGTAGCACACGGGTAAGTTCCAGGAGACAATATTATATATAGAAAATACTGTCGAAACTGCTCTACCGGTCACCTGCTTGTCTGTTTGTCTGAGAAAGTTTTTAGTAAGAATATTACGACACTTGCAACACAATAAGGTCATATAAGTGCCATAAGTGCCCGAGATTAGATGTGTTACAAGAGAGTAACATACACAAAAGAGAAGGAGAGATAAGGACGATAGATGTTTGACACGAAAGAAGGAGCAAACCAAAAAAGAGCACCCGCCAATCACCCACTGTCAGAGTAAGCACAATAATGGGCATTTAGTGCTGGGAAAAAGTAAACGCAGACAGACAGAAACAACAGAGGGGAAATAAAGAAGTAGGACCTACCAGTTGCGCCCTCATAACCACCCACCCGGCTACCTCTATAAGACAGTCATCAGTACAAACAGCCCCTTCCCATTTCCTTCCTTGCGTACTTTTTTTGGGGGGTTACATTATCATGACAACGTTCTAGAAGTCCACTTGTCGCAGACAAACCGATTTTCTCCTCGACAACGGGTGGCCGTCTTAAATCATTTCAAATTTATTGATCAAAAGCAAGAGAGCTGAACATCTTTTTTAAGCGCTTGACTTGCATTGCCTTCCTAGTCCCAGCAATTATTATGGAAATGTCATTCGTTGGCAACACCTTATTATGATGATGAGCCAGCTTCGACTTCGAGTAGCAACGTCAACAATCAGAGCCGATGTGGGAGATTTAGTCTCTGTAAGAATTTTACGACGCTTGCAACACAAATATGTCAAAACATAAACGTCGAAGATTAGAGGTGTTACTACTAGAAACTAGAAAGTAACATACAAAGAAAAGTAGGAGGTGAGATAAGAACGGTAGCTGTTTGATAGGAAAGAATTAAAAGAAGGATCAAACCACAAGTGGCGCCTTCCAGCCACCCGTTCCATTTATTCCTTTTCTTATTTTTAAATCAGAGTTTTCAAAAAGAAGAGCCCGGTGTATTTGTGAAGGTCCAATCCCAGGCCGGAGAAAGGTTTGTGTCAACACACACTGTCTCCGCCAGCCGCGGGGGACTTAACTCGTCGAGTCAACGACGCAAGTCACAGCTGACTCGGGACGTTTGCTCGGACCTCTGACTTTTATGCCGAGCAAACACGCTTTGCAATTGTACACTCTCCTGGATGACTTCAAGTAAAGGAACGGGGATAGCTTGTAACACCTTTTGTTCGGGTAAAAAAAAAAAACTCACAAAAAACACACACACAACAAAAAAAGGAAAACACGACCTGGAGGTTCTCAAACTGTTTTCTCAACAAACCGATTCGACGTAACTTTAGACCCTTAGGCCAAGAATGAAGACAAAACAGAATAGGATTTGTGAGCAGGAAAAACGCTCGCTGTTGTAATTCGACGTCATTTTCCTCAAAAT